TTTTTTATAAAGTGTTTATAAAGTGTTTTTTGTTCTTGGCATTCATATAAATAAACTGGTGTAATAACTTAGTATTCGTTTGATTGGTTTTTGGTATACGTCGATTTTGAATTTATAGCTTCCCCTGGAGAAAACTCCACCAGCCGACCACTGGGGAGGCTGAGGAGTGTGATCCCCCGCTAGATGGAACACACCCTGCAACCCCCCTTTTTATGCAGAGGAACCACAAACCCAGTCTCCCAATCCAGGGCCACAGTCCCCAACCTCCATGTGATGTTGAAGAGGTGTGTCTGCCACAACGACCCGTTTTTTGGTATACGTCTATTTTGAATTTATAGCTCCCCCTGGAGAGAACTCCACCAGCCGACCACTGGGGAAGCTGAGGAGTGTATGAGGACTGGAATTGGAAAAATAAATATGAAAAAACCCACATATAATAAAAGAAAACCCCAAACCCAAAAATTTAATAAAGATGAAGCAGATACGTGAAACTGTATATTGAAAACATATGATTCCTTCCCTGACCTGTAGCAGTATTATTTACTCAACAGCTTGACCTAGTGTTTAGGAGGAGGATTGCACCGATTGGGGTTCTTCTGAAGTAAAGGTCCCAAAAAAAAAAAAAAAAGAAAAAATACATGTTCAAGAGAAAGTTGTTTTTAGTATGATTCAAGCCAGTAACTAAGGATATGATTTCCTTTCTTACTTTGATTGAAGGTAAAATAATCTTTAATTGATATATTAATCTAACCTGAATTAGATTTTTATGAAGTGCTTAAAGTTAAAAAAAGATGTAAGGATTAAGTATAGAACTAAGTTTTGGTTTTTATCAGTAATATTTCCCTGGAGAAAGCAACACGATGAATGGCCCCTAATGGTGTTTAATTATACCATGAGAATCCTACAGTGGCAGACTGCTGCCCAGTTAGAACATCTAAAAGAACACTGTGTATAGCTGAGAGTGTAGAGAATTTATTGCAGATCGACACTCGTCCGTACAGAAAAGATAATTTCTTTGAGGCACTGAATGCTCACCACTCCTTCACAAAAATACTTTTGTCCCTTTCATTACAGGGAAGACAGTAATCAGATGTAATGACTTTTAAGACGAATGATTAAACTGAACATCATTGCAGGCGAGTGGCGGCCTGGTGGTTAGGGCGCTTTGGATCCAGAGAGCAAGTTCAAGCCCCACTCTCGCAGACTGCTAATCCCTGAGTTAAGACCCTGTTAGGTTTATTATATGATGATTATACAATTAATGTCTGTGTGTGCTTATGAATCATTTGAGCAAGTAGATGCTTCATTTTGTCTTGTGATTCAGTCAGGAGACCACCCTTCCTTGTGATTCAGTCGTGGAGTGTCCTGTCCTGTCTTATGACCTGATCAACTGTCCTGTCAGAACAATACTCTGTTTGTAACCATGTGTCATGTTCTGTTAATAAAGCGCTCTGCAGAGGAGGTCGGGTAGAGACAGAGTGTTTGAGTCTTGGGTGCAGTTCTGTCTCTCCTCCTGCAGGAAGCCGTTTGAAAATCC